GTTGGGGCCCCCTTCTGGATGAGGGTCATGTGCTTCATTGGGAGCAATTGAGCAAGAATGCCTTGGGTGTTGTTGTTTTTTGTGTGTGAGGTAAGGACACTGCAGCCATGCAGGGTTGGAATGGATATCAAGGCCAACATGGTGCTGGTATGGTTCCATTTTCGTTCACCGTGTCATGGCTCCAGAGGTCACAATGTTCGGCCCTTTTGGCCAAGGGTGTCGATCCGAATCAGTGCGCAGTAAGAGGGATCCCAGGATATACATAAGTACTGATCCTTCCCATCACTCAATCCCATCACACTTGAACACAAGTAAGCTTGAAAACCAACATGAGACGTGAAAACCTAAAATTGTCGGTAAAATCAAGTCTTATGCACAAAATTGTTTACTACTCACTCTCAACCTCACTCAAAACTACTACCCTCTGCCCCTCTCTCTCTGTGAATGTCTTCCTGACTCTCAGTCTCTCACTCACACTCATACTACTACTATGGAGCCCAACGCCAACGACTACAAATATTGTCACTCAAGTCGGAGCACACTCGTCGCTTAGCTGCACAAGTTCGCAGCAGCGCTTCTGCAACAAGCACGAATGGATTGTTTGTTTCAACAACTGCTGCCTTGTCTTTTGTACCAATGATTCAGCTTCCCTTCCTTGGACGCTTCGGATTGCTACCCAATGACTGACGACCAAAGCTTGGTCTTGGACGCATCCCGAATGTTCTATGACTTACCTTGGAATCTTGCCATTGACTGAACTGGACTAATAATAGACGGGCTGGACTCGAACAACGACACTTTCTGGACTCCTACGGACTGTATGGAACTCGGAAGAATGATTTATTCGATCACGGGACTGCAACTCAGGGACTATCATTGAGACTGGGACTGGAACTGGGACTGGTGTGGGATTATTGAGAAATGCTTTCACTCATGTTGGCCTAAATTTCGACGTAGTCCGAGGAAGACATAGTCATTACCCCTCTAGCTTGTTCATAGTGAGACACCATTGTAGGGGCAGTCTCAAATAAATCAGGCTTTGTGAACCACCTATTATCTTCAGGTTCTTGATACTGGAATCGAACCCTGAATGACCTTTGTGGTCGCCCTCTTCTTCCTGGCCAAACTATATGATCTATCTCATACCTACCATTCATATCCGGTGGAATCATCGACCTTTTTTTTTTTTTTTTTTTTTTTTGGCAAACAACAGCTCGGACTGCTATTGGGGGTGATATGAGCATCCCTCAATATCAACCTTTTGCCATCGACTCCTATCTATTGGTGGCGAGCATCACCTGCTGGAAACGGGGTGTAGCGCCTCTTTACCGAACTTGAAGTACAACATTTGCAGCGAATAGGAAATTGCGCACTTAGCAGTATTGATTTTCCTGTTGCCAGGGGATTGACTGCCAATGGCTCGAACATTGATTTACATGAGGGAAATGTAGCATACGTCAGACTCGGCAATAGCTTAAAAGCATGGAAGACAGGATAGGTTCATAGATGAAGAGTTACATCTATCACATAGGAGAGAGCTTGAGCTCCACCAACTACATCTAGCAATTCCCATGGTCCTCGGTATGGCGGTAACAATTTATGTGAGATCTCTTCTTCTGGTAAGAATCCTTTCGACTTTACCTATACTTGGACAGTGGACTGCGACGACCTTACCTTGTATGCTTGTTCGCTTGTTCGCTTGTTCGCTTGTTCTATCATCTTCGCTTGTGTGCGTCTAATAAAATACTCGGTAACTTTCTTGAGATTTCTCTCATACATCATTGCAAATTTACTGGTCCCGAGTGACAGTGTATGTGTCTGATCTAGATAAAAACTCTAACCGACTTCAACGACTTGAAAGGTCTCCACCCTTTGTGCAGTTTGTACGGGGTCCCTAGCGATGGAAAGATGCACTACACGGTTGTAAGAATTGGCTACCATTGACAATAGCGCATCCCAACCTACCTGATTCGGCCTAATGTACATGCACAATGTCTGTTGCATCAGCTTGTCCGTGCGGTCAATTTGAACATTTGTCTTTGGCTTCTACCACATGACATCGCCAACTTTGAGATGGAGATTTTCATCAATTGCTGCCACGACTCACTCGCGACCCTGACATCTCTATCACTAGCGAAGTTTACAAGGGTCCCGTTATCTCGCAACCAATGTGCCAAACAATCTCGAATGACAAGTTTTGTCTTAGCTTCAGCAGGCAGGGGTATAAACTCAACAAATTTGTTGAACCGATCTACTGCTACCAGCGCTTGATCGCTCCCTCTTCTACTCCTCACCTTCGCATCCTTTTAACTGTTTCTTTTAATTTTGACCATTTCTTGATTTATGTGTATCATCCTTGTGCAAGGGCCATGCTAGTCTTCTCTGTATCGTTCCAGTTTAATGTATCGTTCCAGTTTAATGGATGTCCTGAAGGGGTTCTTCTGAAGT